TTTTTTTAAAACAAAACACATCTCAGTAATGAGATGTGCTTAGTCAGATGAAACAAAAAATATTGTCTTAGCAGAGACAATGTCTATGAAATATAAGGTACCGTTGTGCATCCCCTCATATGTACAGTTGACACATATCACAATGCAGTCAAGAGCAGATGCTAGTGTGTATCAAATACCTGGCCCAGGAATGGATACATAAATATATTTTACTTTGCTTCCCATTCCCTTCCATGTGACCTTGAAGGGAAGGGATGAATAATAGGCAAAATAGAAGTTTAGGACAAACCTATCATGTCCATTCTAGTTCTGAGCCCCCCCACTGTCCCACCACCCAGTCAACCCTCCAGGTCTTCATCTGAAAACCAGACTGAACCTGGAGCCCTACAGCAGCCACTTACAGACATGTATTCTCAGGTGGGCCTTGTCGCTATGAAAAAAGACCGCATCATCCAACATGAGTGCCTGAGTTTCTCTCTTCTCCAAGTTGACACATTCAGATTATATTCTGGGTTTTAAATGCTTTCTTCTGATCAAAAATGCAAGTCTCTTTTTTAAATTTGTGGTGTCTCTTAGTGCCGAAATATAAAAAGCTCTCCAGCAATTGTCATATCTGTTGTGAATATTTTTCCCACTGGATGCTTTTGCTTTTATTTTTTGTTTAAGGTTTTTGACAAAAAAGAATCTAAATTTTTAGTCAAATCTATGCATTTTCCCTATGGTGATTTCTATTGTTTTTATAATAAAGTTCTTTCTCATCCATAAATGTGTTAGTCACTTAAGTGTTTCCATTCTTTTAGTAGTTTCATTATATGTAAGAGGATCTTTGATCTTTTAATTTCTTGGGGTGTGATGTATATTGAGGCTATAAATTGGGTTTCTGTTTTAAAGAGGCACAGCACTATTTAACCCACCCCTTCCTTCCCAAATGTTTTTCATGATGTCCCCTTTGATTTGCAGAAGTTCTCTCTGAGGGAGGAGAGTGTTATCAGAGTCTCTAGGATGCTCTTTAAAAATTCGTTCTTTTTATTTTTTTATTTTTGGCAAAGAAACACAAAGACATTTTTGATAAATGCTAAACAGGTGACACATTTCTTCAGGCCTATTTCTAAGTATATAAATCCTGTATTTCCCTTTCTTCTCCCATCATGCCCAACACTCACGTTCTATCTCCTTTTTCTCTAACTATAGCATTAAACTATTATTCAAACATTTACTACACATCTTTTTAGTCTTTTAAGTTTGGACACCCTCAGGAGTCTGTCTAAGACAAAAATAAATAAATAAATAAATAAATAGAAATTCGTTCACTCCAACTATGCAAACTTCTAGAATGTCTTGTCTAACAGAATTTTAGGTTTCCCTCTGATTTGTTTCTGCTCCTACCCTTTTGAGAACCTTTAATTTGTCATATCGTTTTCGTCTATCATGTGTATTCTGTTCCATTGACAAGTTTATCCTTACATTTGCTCCACAGTTTTCCCTTACTGACTGCAAGAATATATTTTGATATCTGGTAAAATAAGTTTCCATTCATATTTCAAAGCCTAAAAAATAATTAGCCCATTAACACGTTTCTGCAAAACCCAGGTTGCCTGTTGAGAGAACTCTTTCATGCTGTTTTTCTCTTGTGGATAACTTTCAGTAAGGCTTTGCTTCAAAGAATTGTAATTATATTAGTTCTACTTTTGTATCAGCAGGAGTGACGAATCCATTTTAGAAAGAAGCTGAAAATAAAACCTTCTGTACTAGAACAGAATTTACTTTTTCTATTGACCTGCTCTTGGAAATTCAGCCACCATCAAACCTGGCTCCACACGGAATTCTTCTCCAAAACTAACTGATACTTAGGATTTTGTTCTCACGCTGACAGACAGGCAGTTATTTTTGCTCTTTTTTGGTTTTGCATATGTGAGGTGCTATTTAGAAACTATTTCTGAAGATCTTTTGCAAGGTGAGGATATGTGTATACTTCTGAATTTCCTTTTTCTTCATGCTTATAGAAGTAAACCTTGGGTTGGGGGAACATAGGAACAGTATTTCCTGCTTGCATACTCTAGTGCTCAGTAAGAAATGAAAGATTATATGTAATAAATTGCCTTAAATTTGGTAAGTCTATAACATGTTTCTCTAAAAATTTAGAAACATTCTCAGATTTTCAGGTTACTCTAAGGCCTGTTATTAGTGAAATTTTATGTTCAAACTGTATGTTCTCTATAGAGATATGTAGGGATATAAAAGGTTTACCAGTAAAGTATTTATTTTCATGCTGAGAACATGAGGGGAAATCTGTATTTTAAATCTTGAAACAGAAATACTGAATTTAGGGTTAGATAGTATTAGCATAATGTGGGCAAAGTAATTAATATAAATTTTAGGGGCCTCCCTGGTGGCACAAGAGGTTAAGGCGCAGCCTGTGGAGCTGTCCATAGCTATTGCAGCCAGAGTTCAATCCCCGCTCAGGGAGCTACCCACATGGCGCAACAGACCTCTCCTGGCTCGCCCACTGCTCCCCTCGGCAATGTATTTCAGTCGATCCGCCCATTCTGTTCCCCACTCTGTCTCTGGTGAATCCTCTCACCACCACCCCGCACCTCTGGCCTGTGCCCCAGTTGTTGTTTGCATAAATAAATAAATCTTTAAATATATATATATATATATAAATTTTATTCCTTTTTTTCTACACCTCTAATTTTTCTGTGAATTCCAAATTTTATTCTCAAATGTTTCTTTTCTTAAGTATAATTCTGTTTTTTTTTAAAGATTTATTTTTTTATTTATTTATACAAGTACTGGGTACAGTCAGAAGTGCGGGAGGGTGAGAGAATTCACCAGAGCCAGAGCGGGGAGCAGAGCAGGCAGAAGGACCGAAGTACACTGCTGAGGGGAGCAGCGGGTGGCAGGAGGGGTCTGCGCACCATGTGGGACCCTCCTCTGGTGGCCGGGGAGCAGCCGGGGATCGAACCGGCGCCACAGAGGCCGCGGGCAGCTTCGCAACCCAGCGCTCAACCGCTGCGCCACCGGGGAGGCCCTTTGATCTATTCTTTATTCAATCAACTGTATACATCTATTGAAATACAACTGAGCACTAACTATATACAAGCTAAATTTCATTAAAATGAATTCAACCCTATTAAAATTCTTCATGTTCTTTAATACTGATTTCCCAAACAATGATCTACCTGAAGTTTCAAGATGTATTCTCACTATAAAAAATTTTCATACTATGGGCCTCCCTGGTGGCCTAGGGGTTCAGTCTCAGTGCTATCACTGCCATGACCTGAGTTCAATCCCCAACCAGGGAGCTAAACCACAAATTGCACAGCAGACCCTTGTTTGGCCCGCTGCTCCCCTCAGCAGTGTATTTCAGTCAGTCTGCCTGTTCTGTTCCCCACTCTGTCTCTGGTGAATCCTCTCACACACACCTCCCCCCACCCCCGTACCTCTGGCCTACACACCAGTTCTTCTACACCAAAAAGAAAAAAATTCTCATGGGCCCTCCCGGTGGCGCAGCGGTTGAGCGTTGGGTTGCGAAGCTGCCCGCAGCCTCTGCGGCGCCGGTTCGATCCCCGGCTGCTCCCCGGCCACCAGAGGAGGGTCCCACATGGCGCGCAGACCTCTCCTGCCGCCCGCTGCTCCCCTCAGCAGTGTACTTCGGTCCTTCTGCCTGCTCTGCTCCCCGCTCTGGCTCCGGTGAACTCTCTCACCCTCCCGCGCTTCTGACTGTACCCAGTGCATGTATAAACAAAACAAACAAACAAATAAATAAATAAATAAAACACGCCTCTATTAAAAAAAAAAAAAGAAAAAAATTCTCATACTCTATGAGAGAAACTTAGGAATGGATTCTTGGACTTGGTCATAACAAGTTTTTCCTACTCGGTCAGCTGCGTTCTGTTTCTCTGTGTGACCAAATAACTGAACAAATGCTAGCTAAACTTTTGAGAATGATTGTTTTTTAATGACAAATTCCCCAGATTACAACTGTATGATTTACTATAGAGCTATATCCAAATAGATTGACCAGGAAAAGAATTGAAACACACCCACATTTTAAATTATTTTCAGCAGCCTTCCCACCTTTCCTCCTGGCTCATTCATCCTCCATTCATTCACTCATGCAATTATTCAACAAATATGTTGTTATAAGCAATAGTTCAGTGAGCATCATTATACCTGTGTTCTTGTATATGTGTTTGAGTGGTGCTATAAGAATTATACCTGGAAGTCAACTTACTATATCATAGAGTGCACATCTCAATTGTCCTCCATTCAAGTGGCATCCAAGAAAACTGAGTTGTTTATAAATCTGTTCTAAGTAAGGTGCAATTTTAAGTTCTGAGTCTAGGCTTTTGGATTCTTAGCTCATCTGTTGTTTGATTTTCAAGTACAGTATTTAAATTCTTTCCATTTTTGTCTAAGCAGTGATAGATAATGGGTGATTGCATTTTATAAGAATTTTATTGTCATTTTATCTGTTAGAGAGATTTAGGCATAAATTAATACAGTGGTAAATTATACAGCTTTTAAAATGGCAATGAACATATATGTTCTAACATTTTAAGTCAGTCCTCAATCATTTAACTTACTTTTAAACACACTTTAAATTAGTATTAGGTGCTGAATTTTTTAATAATCTTAGAGTGACTAGAGAAACTATGCATTTTCTTTACTTATTCTGTTGTGTTAAGAGGTTAGCTTACAATGAATTTTTAATAGATTTCATGTAGAGATTTAAAATCTAGTGATGAGTGTGAGCTTTTCAAATATTTTACAATTAAGGAAATGAAATATCACAAATAAGAGCTTTGAAATGACCTGATTGTAAATGCTAGAGCTTTCTTTTATAACTTTTAGTTCTTCAAGGAATTAAGAGGTTGTATTTTTTATCATTTGCTTCAACATGTCCACCTCAAGTGCTTTAAGAAGTAGGCTGAATTTTATTTGAGGCAGATGTATCATGCAAGGAGTATCCCGGTTTATACTCAGAAGTGCTTTCACTCCTGCTAGCTTCCCCTTGAAATCGCCTAGAAAGAATTTGGCACATTATTTTGCGGATATTACTGGACATCAGGAAATACATAACAGGATCTAAACAGCTATTGAAAGATGAGAGAACCAGCATCATCTCATTGGTTTTGTGAATAATTTCCCTCCAATAACAAGATATTTTTTCATCTAGCTGTGACAAAACATAGACAAATCGAAAGGCATGATAGGGAACAAAACATATTGTAAAAATGATGAGAACAATAAAGGAATTCCGGGCTGTAGTGGTGTATTTACTAGAATTAGGAAATCTTGACCTCCTTTTAGAAATTCTCAATAGATTCTTGCCAATTTTAATATATGAAAGGATTATTAGTAGGAAAATTACCCAGAACATTGCTACAATAAATAGGTTAAAAATTGCTTCTCCTCGGTTACCTGTCTTAGCTCTATAATGGAAACACATTGTGGAATTATAGTCTCCTTTCTTAAGTGCTGAAACAATGATAGCTAAAAATCCACCAAGAGCAATTGCCCATACTGTGCAACAAACATAAATACTTTGTTTGATTGTTATTGATTTCCGTTGTTGTATAGACCTATTGATTTTTATATAGCGATTCAAACTGATGCATCCAAGCAAAATAATGCTAATATACATGTTCATATAAAACAGTACTCCCACAACCTTGCAAAAAACTATACCTAGTGTCCATTTGTTTTGGTTGATGTGATGCATTATTCGGAAAGGAAGGCAGAAGATAAGTAAGAGGTCTGCAATGGCTACATTAAGTAGGTAAATCTGAATTGAATTTCTTTTGCGGTGGATACCCAGAAATACATAGAGGGCAATTATGTTCCCAACCAGTCCTACAATGAAAATGACAATGTAGAATATTGCTAACACTTTGGAAAGTAATTTTTCATCCATGGTGCAGTTAATAGAATTTGATGCTCCAGAAGAGTTGTCTGGCAATTGGACAGTGTGATTAGTTGTCAAGTGCAGTTCCTGGAAGGAGTGAAAGCTGCTGCTGTCTGAAGTAGTTGTCATTGTTATGGTGTGACCTCTCATTGTCTTCTGTAAGGATCAAAAAGTGAAGGTGCTAAATGACATATTCCTTGTATGTAGCTTTTCTGTCTTTAGATTCTTCCTGTAACAGAAAGTCGAATATTGAGTCATGCTATTTTCATAATAGTTAATTTAACTTACAGTGTAAATAATAAATGATTTATTTTCAGACATTGTGAGAAACTTTTATCCTTCTTTAGATCATTTTGGATATCTACATTATACATTATGTAGATAGCAGCATTATGGTATCACAAAACCAGCAGCAAATATAGTAGAATCTTATGCAATGTCCTGCTCTAACCTTTCCCATGACTGCAGTTTATGTTAAAGGTTTGTTCCATTTATTATATTAAATAACTAAACTGTAAAATCATCTTTCTTACAGAGGTTGTTATGGAAATAGAGATGAAAATGAAGAGAAATATCAGCTCGTATTTTTCAAAAATGAGCATCAATTTCCCTCGCATAAAGGCAGGACCAACTGGGCCCACTGTTGGCCCTGCCACCTTCCTGTCGGCCGTGACTCTTTCCCTCATACATGGCACTCATTCATTCTGACACATACTGCCCTGTGGCAGGTGACAGATAAATTGTGGCAGTCCCGTAATGAGAATAGACTGAAGGATCCTGAAATGTTTTCCTTTTCAACCAAATACCAAGTTGGGGGTATTAAAATAATTTGCCAACAGGGACATGCAAGTAACTTAATAGACCAAGAGAGCACAGCACCTGCCTCTCTAGGCAGCCTTTTGTAACACTGAACAGGAGAGCGAAGTAGCCAAATAAAATTCAGATCTTTACAGCTGCCAGTTAGTCACTGCTGAACTGGAAGCATCGAGTGATCAGTAGCTGGAAAATAGGGTGTGTGGTCGAAGATTGTGAAGTAAATAAATGCCCTGAATAAATAAATAAATAAATTTACTGTATGTAAATGCCCTGGGCTAAGTAATTTAAGACGATTGCTAGAACCTTATAACTGATACTATGTGAATTCCATTTGTTCGTGATAGCAGAGAATGTTAGCAATGCTACTTGTTATTGACTCTTTCCCAGATATTGACTGCTCTGAAGAGCTCAATCTGAGAGCCCATCATGAAAAAGTAGGATGAGAGGAGCGGGTTCCAGGAGGTCTCACCACATTCCTTTCTTATTTCTCTACAGCGGCCTCTTAGCAATTATAACATAAAGCTGTTCAGAGCGAGGTAATCATAATCAGACCTGACTAATTCTGTGACCTTAGGCTTAATCTTTTTTCTTTTTTTTTTAAAAGATTTTATTTATTTATTTATACAAGCACTGGGTACAGTCAGAAGTGCGGGAGGGTGAGAGAATTCACCAGAGCCAGAGCGGGGAGCAGAGCAGGCAGACTGACAAAGTACGCTGCTGAGGGGAGCAGCGGGCGGCAGGAGAGGTCTGTGCGCCAAGTGGGACCCTCGCCCGGCTGCTGGGGATCGAACTGGCGCTGCAGAGGCTGCGGGCAGCTTCACCGCCCAGTGCTCAACCACTGCGCCACCAGGGGAGGCCCAGGCTTAATCTTTTCTAAGCTTCAGTTTTCTTGTTTGTAGAAATTAAAAATGCCTGAGAGGAATCCTGGCATGTAAAAATTTAAATGAAAATTAACTTTTACAAAAAACCACCTTTTGATCTCATTTTATTTTTTTAAGAGTTATTTGTTTATACAAGAACTCGGGTACAGGCCAGAGGTGCAGAGAGGGTGAGAGGATTCACCAGAGACACAGCGGGAAGCAGAATAGGCAGACCGACTGAAAACACTGCTGAGGGGAGCAGCGGGTGAGACAGGAGAGGTCTGCCACTTCATGTGGGTATCTCCCTGGCCAACCGGGAATCGAACCCACGCTGCAGAGGCTGCGCTCAACCCGCTGCGCCGCTGGGGAAGCCCCGATCTCATTTTAGTAAACATTTCATACCTAACTAAGTACTGCTTGGAAAACCAAGGTGAACAAGACAAGCCCTGCTTTTGGTAAACATTTTCAGGAAGTGTGCATTCAAACTATGAATGCTGTAACATAAAGTGAATTTCAATTCCAATAATTAAATTCCTGTTTTGACATTACACACACAGAAAAATGTCTGGAAGAACTTAACCTTTTTTAAAACTCTACCTACAATTTGATCAAGAAAACATTTTGGTAGAAGGTAAAATTCCAGTTTAAAATGTGTTGTAGAGGGGGGGAAATTGATTCCAGGGAAGGGGAATTGGCCGGCCAAGAGGAAGTTATATAATCCCTGTTAAGAGCATGTCTCCAGAGTTCAGGACAGTGGTGGGAGGGAGGGAGGCAGGAAGACAGTCTAGTCTGTTGTGTGTCTCAACTGCAGGAAGACAGATTTCACGAAGTTTGTAGAACTTACAGGCATGTTTTTGGTGACCTGAAATTCTAAAAGGATAGGGCAATCTAGGAAGAATGGCAGGCTGCCAAGAATGAAGCTGACAATGCAATCTGGGTGACAAGAAGAGAAAAGGGGTGCCTGGAGAGGAACCTGTGTTGTGTGCATATGCAGGGAGTTCAGAGAGGCTCAGGTAGGAATATCGCGGAGCCACTGATGAGAAGGATATGACAAGTGGCATGATTTTGAGAGGTCAGATAGCTGAAATAATTTTTACAAGTCTTCTATGAGTAGTTTTTATTTTTCTTCTCCCATGCTGTATTTTAAACTCCAGCATTAGGAACTAGGTATATTTTGTCTCCTTTTGTGTACCAAGTGTAGAAAATAGCACAATAAATATTATTATGTGAAAGAGGGAATGTAGTAGAAAATATGTAAAGTTCTACATGTAGATATTAAAATCAATGGCTAAGTACAAGTAAGGCTTTAGCTACATTCACTAAAACCCAACTGCATTTGACTACAATTGCCACATTTAGCAGTTCAAGTGATTTCAATTAAGACTTTTCTTTGATTGAACTGACAGACAGATATGGCATATCTTAAATGAAATTGTTACTATGAATCTGGTTCTATCTCAAGACCCTAGGGCGTCACCTAGGACTGTGTTTCATTCCTAGCAGCATCCTTAGAAAGGCTACAGAGCAACAGAGAGAACTCTAATCATGTCATAGTAGCAAGTTGAAGAAAGTAGGTACCTTACCCTGGAGATCTGAACACTTTACAAGGCCCTGGAGAAAAGGATTTCACTTTGTGATATGTGCCTTCAAAAAACAGAACAAGGACCAGTGAGTAGATATGGCAAAGACAGATGTTGCCTCCTTTTAAGGAAATACTTTTTTAAAATGAAACAGTCTATCTTGGAAGGCAATCAGTGTCTTATCACCAGTTTTTCTGACACTACCACCAAATGAATACTTTGTAGAACATAGAAGAGATTATCAGTGACTCTCCATCTTGCCTACATGTTAGAATCCTCTTGAGGAGTTTTTAAAGATACCAGTATCTGATTCCAGCCCCAGATCTTCTGATTTAATTGCTCTGAAACAGCCTGCAGGCAATGCTTTCTTTTAAACCAGGGAATTCTAACATGCATTCAGAATTGAAACATTGAACTAGATGGCTGAGCCATTGGCCAATATTTATTTAGCATTTGCTGTATGCCAGGCACTTCGTTAAGCACATTTATAGTATCTCATTTACATAATCCTTACAATAGCCTTGTGAGGTAGGTATTAGAAAAAAGGTAATGTGAGATCAAGAGGTTGTGATCTTTACATATGACACACAGCTCTTAAATGGCAGTACCCAGGTTACGACTCAGATCTGTAACCTCACTCCTACTCACATATGACCAGCAGTGTTACCCTATGAGTTCTGTCAGCAGAAAAGGTATTAATCTTTTTATTTGCTGTATCCATTATAATATGTAACTCCAGAGTGTACAGAATCACAAATCATTCACCAGAAAGTTCAGCACACACCCCCAGAGCTTATCTTTTCAAACTTACTTCTAGGCCTGATAACTTTAATCAAGATGTTTCTAGAAAACTGTTAACACAAAGCACATATCCTGAAAACATCTGCCTAAACTTAATCTGCAAGTGAAATTAGTTAATAATAGTTGAACAAGATCACCAATAAAGCAAAACAATGCATTGGTTTAAGCAGTAATAGTAGCGATCATTTAGAACCATTGTTAGGTGACTGGGGCCCAGATTTTCATAAACTAATTCCCCGGTTTGAATCCATTTTAAACTTAATTCCTGATTTTTACAATGTGTCCATCACATCGCTGTGTTAAAATACATACCTATTTGGCAATCATAGCAACCTTTCACCATTTATAGTTTGACTTGACAATGACAGTCATTCAGGCCATACTTCAAAATTGCATTAATTGCTGCATACAGAATAAAAATTGAAAGCAGGTCACTTTGGAAATAATACCATAGGTAGTACATTGGTTTTATTATAAACTTAAAACTATGTCTAAAAAAATACTCTTTAAATTTTGAGGTGTTGAATTAACTAGAATGTATTTTGCTTTTTTCTCTTACATTTGCCTGATTTACTTTTGGAAACAAAACAAAATTTAATTGGTTTGGTATAATTACCATAAAATAGTAATAACATAATAAAGGAAATACTGTCATTGAAACTAGGGAAACAGCATATCTTAATAAAGTTAGTAAGTTATAGATTATTTTAATACACTAGAATAAAATTTGTTGCATATGAAAATAACTTTTAATGGAATAAACTAGATCTGCAAGTCTTTACGGCAATAATCAAAATACAGTTTATAAACAGCGTGGCGCTATTGATAGTATGAACTTAAATACCTCCAGCGTCCTAAAATACTTTAGGTAACGAAGGAAACACAGTCTCATTTTAAGTCAAAGCTATAATTTAAGATATTTACTCAGGGTTCTAAAAACCAAATATTGCTAGTCACCATGAAACAGGTTTCACTTTTAGTACTCAGATATATCAAATTTAAACGGAAATAAAGGATCATTTATATACTTGAAGTTAAGGAATACTCACAAGTGCAGGCTCTCTTGAAGTAAAAGGAGCTTCCCTAGACACTCACTTGTCTTGATGTCTCAGCTGGGCTTCTCCATCCGGTGGTGGTGCAATTGGTTTGGGGCTCTCTTCTGTTTTTTTGTATATGTGCATGTGGTAATAGGTTTTTTTCCCTTTTCTATTTTTTTTTCAAGATGACCTTTGATCCCTTGTGAAAATATTTTTTAAAATCCCACCGCTATGCAACAACTTTAAGCTCAATCAACAATTAACTCTAGTAACTTATTTATATTTTTTATGAATACCTGCCACCTTGAAAACTGTGGTGTGTTTTCCCTCATCCCCCCAAATAAGGAGGATTTATAAATTTTAGTAGAAATAAGCATTTTCCATTTTTTCTAAGAAATGATGCACAACATGTTTTTAAAGTACAAGCATTGAATTTCTGTTTTTTTCTGAATTCGTTTTAGAAACTAAGTTTTTCACCTAAAATGGCATTCCTTTATGGAATCATACTAACATGAATTCTTCTATTTAAATGTTTTAAGTTTTATTTGAATCATACATTGTTTAGCGTATTTTTATGTATTCCTTTAAGACTTTGGATTTACTTTCTACAACAATCTTATAATTTAGGACTAGATGAGATCTGTGGTTGTACTCTCCCCCTTTCATCATTATGATAAACTCCCAAGTTAATTAATACATCACTTATGCTTTAAAGTAAAAAAATACGGAATTCTACATTTTTTGTTTTGGCTCTAGTCCAATATTTAACCACTATCTGTCCATCTTTGTTAACTGCTAGTCCTGCAGTTCAATGTCCTATCCCCTTTTTTTGTTGTCATTTGAAATGAAGAGTTAGTTTTTATCCTCCCCTTAATTGTCACCCTGCTTCTTTGTTTACTTCACACCAAGCAATATTGAATCCATTAGACTTTATCTAACATTCTGATTATTTCTGCGTATACACGTTTTTCTGAATATTATATTCCCCAAAGCTTTTAGCATATTATAAATATGACACGTGCAACAGAATAATTTTAAATCACTAGAATAAAAATATTTTGTAGCTCTTACTTCCTCCTAAAATCTCTGAAAAGGAAGATGATCACTCTGATGTTCTGTTCTGTTAGTCTGCAAGAGTTGGTGGGGGGAGGGAGAGTTAAAAAAAGAAACATGAAAAATACCATCTTAAGGATTTTTCAATGTCCTGGTTAATAGTGTCAAGTATACTTGTATTGTTGTACATCTCTAGAACTTTTTCTAGAGATATATCGCTAGAACTTTTTCTAGCAATACATCTCCAGATAAATACATCTCTAGAACTTTTTCATCGTGAAATACTGAGACCCTTGACCATTAAACACTAATTTCCCCTGTCCTTGGGAACCACCAACCTTCTAACTTTCTTTGATTTTGACTACTTGAGCTCGCTCTTTCATTTGAGTGGAATCACCGGTGTTGTCCTTTTATGACTGGCTTGTTTCATTTAGCATAATATCCTCGAGGTTCACCTATGTCACAAGATGTATTTCTGCTTTAAGACAGCAAAACATCTCATGTATAAACACCACATTTTATCTCTTCATCTGTCCTTGGGTATTTCGGTTTCTTCCACCCCTGGCCATTGTGAATAATGCTGTGATGAACATAGTTGTACAAATATCTTTTCAAGGTCCTATTCATGTCTAAATAGTTGTCTTCCAATTTGCATTTCATTTCTTAACATCTAATATAAAAGGGGAGGGAAGAAAATGGGGGCAGGTGGAGAGCACAGTGAACTGTGGTGGAAGACTAGGGGTGCTTCAGTAGTGGGAGAGTTATTGTGACCACACCTAAGGGGAGAAATACTATATTGTGAAAAAAGAAGCAAGTATGTAAAATAATGTTACGTCATTAATAAAAATAATACTGATAATAAATCTAGTACAGTATGTTCTTTCTGGATTATGCTTTTTTCCCCACACCTAAATCAACCCCTTTCGGAATACTAATCCTATCTTGATCATCAGCCCCTTGGTGACTCTGTTGCAACCAGATAATAATTTCTTATCAATTATTCCTTTATAGGAGCTTTTTTCCTTTTCCTTTCAAACTTTCTACTTTGTGCCTCTGTGTTCTTAGTTTATAAGTTTGTATCCTGTTCTCCTTATCCTTCTGCTTTCTCCTTTCTTGGAATCTTAAACTTTCTATTTATATAAAGATAGACTTTGAAAAAGAAAAAAAGAAGAAGAAATAAAAATGGATATTCTTGTTTGGTGCCATCTATTGTTGATATCACCATCCTCTTTTTATCTAAATTTCAAATCCTAGTAAGATTCAACTCACCGCTTACTCCAGGCCTGAACACTCCCAGCTGAAATGAAGGCTGCTGACTATAACTCACAGTCGTGCTAAGTGGCCTTACTTCAAAATCATGACCACAAACCTCAAGTGGGCCCCTGGGCTGCCAGAGGTCCTGCTACATTTCCTTACTCTGGTGATTCGCAAAACATGGCTCCCAGACCAGTAACATCCCTCTCACTCGGAAACTTACTAGAAAGGCATGTTCTTGACCTCATCCAAGACCTTATAACCCAGAACCACTGTAGCTGGAGGTCAGCAAATTATGTAATTTTGATGCTAAGGTTTGAGAACCATTGCCTTGGTCCATGTATTCTCCTATTCTTTGAAAATACTTATTTTTGTACCTTCATTCTTCTCAAACTGTCAGCAAACTCCCTCTTCTTCATATTTCCACCTCGTAGTCATTTTTTTATTTCAGAGTAACTAGAAAATAGCATTGGTTGCAAGAGGACTTCCTCATTTTCATACATCCACATGTTCTGGCATCTGGTGCTTTCCTCACTGTCACTGAAGCCAACCCCTCCACCCACTTGTGCATTATCCCCCCTCGACTCCCCTCCTAGCATCTTTTTTGTCTCCAGAGTATCTTTCCCATCAACACAAATGTCCCTTTTTTTTAAAAAAAAAAAAAGCAAAAAATCAAACCTCTCTGAAAAATTCTAGGTACTAGTTTGAAATTACCTACCTCAGATAAATTATTATGTGAAAATTCTGAATAGTTATATATATTTTCTTATTTTAAAGAATGGAAGGGCAAACCAAAAACTTATACAAATAATTGCCAGTGAGGAGGGAAAGATTGGAAGCAGAGGGAGGAAATAAAAGCTAGCCCCTTCAGAATGGTATTTGTCTTACCTTTTGACTTTGGAACTATGTACATGATTTACATAATTAAGGCACCAAATTAAATAAAAATATAAATAAAACAAATTGACCTCACTGCAACAAATTGAAAGCATAACTGCTAGGAGAATTCTTTTAAGTAACTCTAAAATAGGATGGTTTTCATTTTTAAAAAATAATTTATACTTACAGAAATGTTACAAGAATTAAACAAAGAATTCCAGACACCCTTCACTCAGATTCTCCATATGGTAATATTTTTCTGCATTTGTTTTTATCCTTCTCAATCTCTTATCTGTCTCTCTCCATGTACATATTTCCTAAAAATTAGGAATTCCCTTAATAGCCGTAGCACAACAAAATCATAGACTTTTTATTGAAAGATTGCTATTATGTAATATTCAGACCTTGTTTCGATTTCATCAATTGTCCTAATATATTTTATAACAAAAATAAAAACAAGGTCATTTATTGCATTTAGCTATTAAGTTTCTTTATTTTTTTTTAAGATTTATTTATTTATGCATATAAGAACTGAGGTACAGGCCAGAGGTGTGGGGGGTGAGAGGACCCACCAGAGACAGATTCCTTTAATCCAGAACAGGATTTGAAGAGGATGGTCCAGTTACTTTCTAGAATGCTCCTTATTTGGGGTTTGTGTGATGTTTCCTCATGATTAGATCCACTGTGTTCTTTGGCAGGAATACTATAGCAGTGCTGCTGAGTTCTTCTCAGTGAAGGAGACCTTCAGGGAACATATACTATCACTTAATCCTGTTACCAGCAATGGTATTTGTTTTTAAAGATTTATTTATTTATGCATACAAGAGCTGGGGTACAGGCCAGAGGTGGGGGTGGTGGTGAGAGGATTCACCAGAGACAGAGTGGGGAACAGAACAGGCAGATTGAAATACACTGCTGAGGGGAGCAGCAGGCGAGTCAAGAGAGGTCTGCTGCGCCATGCGGGTTGCTCCCTGGCTGGCTGGGGGATCCAACTCGTGCTGCAGTGGCTGCGGACAGCTTCATAGGTTGTGTATTAACCACCAGGGAGGCCCCAGCAATGATATCTTTGATATTGGTATCTGCCAGGCTTCCCCTCTATAAAATTTCTATCTTACTTTTTGTAATTAATAAGTATCCTGTGGGGATCTACTTAAGTAAGCTTACATTATATAAATATCACTCTTCACCCTTTGATGATTCTTACCTGAATCAATCCTGAATCAATTATTATGGTAGTAAATTGCCAAGTGGTGATTTTCAAATTCTAGAATTTCTTCTACATTTATTGATTGATTTTCTACTTAAAGAAAAGATTTTCCTTCTTCCCTATTCATTTACTTTATTTATATCAGCATAGGCTCATGAGTTCTTGCTTTATTCAGTAGTAAAACAGTGTTTTAGCTGGGCATACCTGGTAAGATAATATCCTTAGGGGAGCCTCCTTGGTGGCACAAGGGGTTAAGATGCAATCTATAAAGCTATCTGCAGCCACTGCAGCACGAGTTTGCTCGATCCCCGGCCAGGGAGCAACCCGAATGGCACAGCAGACCTCTCCTGACTCTCCTGCTGCTCCTCTCAGCAGTGTATTTCAGTCTATCTGCCTGTTCTGTTCCCCACTCTGGTGAATCCTCTCACCCACCCCCCACCGCATCTCTGGCCTGTACCCCAGTTCTTGTATGCATAAATAAATAAATCTTTTGAAAAAAGATATATCATTAGGACAAAAAGAACCACAAAGGACTCTTAAACAGTATATAATGGTTTTATTGTTACTGGTAATGTAGACATTGTTACTGTGAAACTTCTATGACAGCACACACAGAGGATTAAAGCAATGAGTAATTATGTTAATGTCATTAGGTACCAACATTACTTGATTAAAATTTTAAAAACCATAATTGAGAATGAAGAATCATCAGCATAAATTAGTGATTTATGTTTCTTC